CATCAGCCCCGCCTGCCCGCCCCCCGCCCCCCGCCCCCCGCACGCTCACCGTCCTCCTGTTGCAGAACCAGGACCACGTCCGCCTGCTGCAGCGTGACCTCGTCTGCCTGCTTGGCCAAGTAGGCCCTGGTGACTTCCACCTGGAGCAGGTCTGGGGCAGGGGGAGGTGGGTGTCAGCGGCAGGACTGTCCTCCCAGGGAGTGGGTGGGCCGAGAGCTCTGCAGCCCCGAGGCGGGCCAGGCTCCACGGCCCAGCACAGCCCGCGGGGCCCGGTGCTGTGGCGGCTCCCCTCAGCTGAAGCTCCAAAGGCCACAGGACAGGCTGCCTTCAGGGCCAGAGTGCCCGGCACTGGCAGAGGGCACTTGGCTTTTAGGGGGCTGGGGCTGGGGTGACAGACCCGTGGGCCGGCCTGCTCCAGCTCAGCGGTCTCAGCTTCCCCCGGCTACTGGGCGCGAGCCGTGGTCTCCGCCATCGCGGGCAGGGGAGGCCCTGAGACAGCTGGGTCTGTGTGTACAGGTGGGCCCCTCACCTGCCCAGGTGACCCAGGGGCGAACAGAGGGTTGGACAGGACGTGTCCCTCCAGGCCAGCAGACTCCCCCCGCCCGCCGGGGACGGGAAAGGGGCTTCGAGCCCAGTGTCTGTGGGGCGAGCACTCACCTCCCCTGGGGGTTGGGTCCTGCCCCTGCCTCTCCCAGTGTGTGAGGGCCGTGATCCACCGCGCCCGGTCACTCCTGGGGGCAGACAGTGTGAGCGGGGGCACCCAGGCAACCTGTCCCCAGTGTGGCATGGTGGCCTCCCATGGGTGTCTCTGAGCGTCCCCACACTGCACTCAGGACGGGACAGGCAGTGGTGACGAAGGCTCACGCTGCCAGGGCACCCCTTCATGAGATGTGTGCCAAGGGTCGTGAGCAGGTGTCCCTCCCGGGCCTCCCCAGGCCACTGTGCGGGGGGCCGAGGGGTGGGACGTCACAGGGCACGAGGAAGAGTGTAGAGCAGGCCGGGGCCGAGCCAGCTGCCCGGGGTCAGAGTCGGGCGGTAGCCGCACCCCAGAACCCAGGCCGCCCCGTTTCCCGCACTGGGCCCCCAGCCCGTTAGCTGTCTGATGCACGGGCTTCAGCCCCAAGAAAGGGACCCCGCTGTCGGGAGCCCGGGGACCAGAACCCTCGTCCCCTCCTTCGGCTGCTGAGCTCCCAGGGCCAGCGCCCTTCTGCGTGGGACCCCAGCCCCCACCCCGTGTTCCAGCCGCCACCTTCCCGGCCGCTGCACACCGGGGGCCTTTGCAGACCGCGCCCCTGCTGACGAGGCTTCCTCTCCAGCCTGTTCTCCTTGTCCCCACCCCTCGGACACATGGGACAGTTCAGCTGCTCATTCTGAGGCTGGTGTGTCCCCCTCCGGGGAATGTGAACTTGGTGGGAACAAGGCTGTCCCCAGCACCCAGCACGTGACAGTGGTCAGGGAGTCTGTCCTCGCGGTTCTCGAGCCACCGTCCCCGGGGAGCCCTCCTGGACTCACGCGGAGTCGGAGGACAGCAGGATCTTCTCCTGGCGGCCCTCGCTGTTGCGCAGCAGGGTCACCCGGAAGGGGTACGGGACGTAGGAGCCGCGGCTGCCGCCCCCGGGCAGGGACGGCTCGGACGCCTCCATCTTCCGGACCTGGACGTGGTCCGCCTGGGCGTAGTCCTGGACCACGAAGCTGTCCTCGCTGCGGGAGACGAGGAGAGGCCCGATGCCGCGGGGGGTCTGCGGGCGGCCGGGCCACCCCTGTCCACGCAGGGCCCCGTAGCAGCTGGGGCCAGGCAGCCCGAAGGACGCTCCCCAGAGCTGCCCCCCATCTCCACCCAGATCACAGGGGCCGTGAGCTTCCGGGTCCCCGGGGCCGGGTGGGCAGGCTCAGGTCTGCAGGAGGGAGCCAGAGCCACAAGCAAGGGACGCCAGCCGGCCACCCCAGGTCACGTGGGGCGTGGCACTGAGCAGCCCCTGGAAGCCATGGGCAGGCTGGGCTGGGAGGGGGCCCCTGCTGCGTGTCCCCAGCTCTGAGGTCAGAGGAGGCTCAGGTCAGCTCCCCAAGGCCACGGCTGCTGCCCACCCCCGTGCCAGGCGCCCACAGCGGGCCCACCTCTTCTTCTTGGTGACCACCAGGACATCGTTGAACAGAAACAGGTAGCACGTCGGCCGGCTGGCGAGCTTCCTGAAGAGCCCAGCTTCCTCCACCAGCAAGAGCTCCCCACGCTTCAGCAGCCAGCGGGAGGCGGAGATCAGCGGGAGGGACTGGGGGGGACGGAGGCGGCTGAGTCCCGGGCGGGGGGTGAGGACGTGCCGCCACGATCCCGGCCTCTGGGAACTGGGTGACTGGCGTCCCGGCCTCAAAGAGACGGCCATCCGGCCGGCCGACGGGCTCGTGGGGCGGCAGCTCCGTGCCAGGCCCGGCAGCCCGGGCTCCTCACGCGCCCGCTGGCACTCAGGCAGTGTGTCCCCCCTGGGCCTCCCCGATGCACTGTGCTGGGGCCTCGGAGCGCGGGGACGGGCCCGCGGCCGGCCTACCTTCACCCTGCTGAAGTCCAGCTGCGTGTGCAGCGTGTACATCTGCTCCGTGCGCTCCATCTTGTGGGCCCCCTCATTGCACTGCTTCACCAGCTGCGAGGTGGCACCAGGGCTGGGGCGTGTTCCTGCCCCGAGGAGGCCCGTGCCCCGGCCGCCCGCCCTCGTCACTGTCCCAGTGCGGCTTTGCCACGGGCTCGACACTCGCGTGCAAGCCCCGCCCCCTCTGGGCCTCAGTTTCCCCGTCGATACTGGAAGAGCTTGGGCTGGGCCCTCTGAACACCCTCCCCGCACCAGCCTCTGTGTCCGCGCTCAGGCGGGGTGGGGGCTGCGCCTCGTCTCACCTTGCTGATGGCCTTCAGCGCACGGCTGGCAGCTTTGTACCTCTCGGGGTGGCCCTGGGTCTTGAGGCAGAGCGTCTGCAGAGAAGACACCTGACATGAGACCCACCAAGGGCCCTTCTGCACCCCAGGCTTTGAGGCCTGCATGGGGGGGCGCTACAGGGAGGTCGAGGCCGGACCCCAGAGGGCTCTGCCAGGCCAGGCTGGTTGGGTGGGAACTGGGAGCGAGCACCCCCCCAAGGCCCCACCCCTTCCGGTCCTTGGTCACCTCTGTCCAGCTGGGGGGGGTGCGGGGGGCTCCGCAGCCTCTAGTTCTAGTCTCCCCAGAGGGCCCCAGAGGATCCGATGTCCCTTCAGGCTTGGACAGCTGACTCACCCAGCACGGGCCACATGCTGCCTCCGGGAGCTTAGTGGGGCTCTGCCGCGTGTTTGCGTGTGCGTGTGCGTGTGCGTGTGTGTGCACTGTGCATGCTGTGCGTGACACACGCACCCTCTCCTGCCCCTCGGCCCCATGAGCTGGCAGTTCAGACACAAGCCACCCCAGGGATCCCCTCTGAGCCCCTCTTTCTACGCCCGGGACAACTGGCCGAGGGTGCCGGGTCGGAGGCGGCAATGGCCCAGGACCCAGGCTTGCAGGGGTCTGGGTGACACCAGATCAGATGTGTGCACAGCTGTGAGTCGAGTGCGTGAAGAACAATCCACAAAGTGTGGGAACAGGTCGTGGCGGAGAGTCCACGGGTGACGGAGATGAGGCCAGCACCACGTCGCCATGGCTATTAGGCCCGTCTTATAACTGGCCTCACAGCTACCACGTCGCACAGGCAAAGCGTGGAGGCTGCGTGACCCGAAGCCGGGACCCCGGCCAGCCTGGGCGGCCCCCTCCCCCCGGCCGGGGTCTGGGCCGCCCACTCACGTCCATCAGGAGGGGCAGCCGGGTCACCCTCTGCATGGGGAGGATCAGGAAGGAGATCATGGGCAGGCCCCCACACGTGGGCCGCTTCTCGATCTCGCGGAGGACCTCCCGGAAGGTGGCATTGCTGTTCCTGCGACCGAGACGGGGCTTCCGCTTGGCTGCGGGCCGGGCCGTGGCGGCCCACGCAGAGCCCGGGCAGACGCGGCCGAAGCCGGGCCGCGGGCAGGACCGTGCGCCCAGCCCCTCCCGGGATCCCACCCCGGCTCACGTCAGCTTCTGCAGGGCGCGCTGCTGGTAGACCTCGTTGGCGCAGTAGGCGACGTAGGGGTGGAAGTGTCTCTCGGCGTGCTCCTCCAGGATGTCACTGATGTCCTCCACGCACACCTGTTCCTTGTGCCGCCGCTCCAGGTCCTCGAAGAACCTGCGGGGATGGGGACTGTGGCCCGGCCGCCCACCGCCACGCACGTGCAGGCACGCGGAGGGCACCCAGGCCGGTGCTCCTGGCAGGGGCCGAAAGCCGCAGCCCTCCCCGGAAAAGCCGGGGACAGATCAGCCGCTTAAACCTGAAACTGGGCACAGACCACGGCCAAGTCCAAGGCCACCTCCCACTAGATCCCCGCAGACGGTCGCGGGCATCACAGGATGCGGACAGGTAGGACAGGACCTGCCGCTCTGGCTCGATTCGCTGTGACTCGGGTCGGAGCTGCCAGGGTCTGCTCGGAGCCCGGCACTCCCTGGAGTGACCGCCAGCCCTCAGCTCCTGCTGGGTCCCCTTCTGAGGCTCGTCCGTAACCCAGGCCTCAGCAGTAGAGAGGCCAACGTTTGGCTGGTGCTGGCCCAAAGCCACCCAGGGTTCTGTCCCCAGGGGCAGGCACTGGCACCGCGGCTGGGCCTGACGGGACCCGTGTTGGGTCCTCCTCTGCCAGCTGGACCCTGAATCCCCATCGCCCCTTAGGCTCTGGCCAAGGCAGCCAGGGGGTCCTCCTCACCCCACAAGCCTGGTCCCTCTGAGAGGCCCTGTCCCCTGCCCTCGGCCCACCCTGGGCTCGCGGCCGTGCCCACCGCAGCGTCTCTCCAAGTCTGACTCCTTCGCGGTCCTCTGAGCTGGGCTCCTGGGGCTGCCAGGGGCTGCGGCCCCGTCTGGAGATGAGGCAGCTGCCTGACCTCGCCAGGGCAGAGAGCGGAGTCCCCGCACACAGATCCGCCCACACGGGAGCCCCGGGTAGCCCTGACCGCTCACCGGACAGTGACCAGGCCAAGGGTGGCCAGCTCCACCATGGCCCTTACCCCTCACCACCTGGGTGGGAGGGGAGAAAGCCAGCAACGTGACCGTGAGGTGCGGTGAGGTCCCAGGTCCTCAGTCCTGAGGGCACCGAGGAGTCCGCTGTCAGCCCCGCCCAGGACCCATGGCCGAGCACCACCCGGGCGAGTGGACAACCCCACCGACCTGTGGGCCCCCCACCCCTGGGAAGATGGGACCTCGCTTTGGTTATCCTGGCCAGGCCGGTGAGGGTGACAGGGAGTGGAACGAGCCTCGGCCTGGAGGCGGGCAGGGGTCCCTCAGGCCCCAGCTCACTGGCCCCCAGCCTGACCCTCCACCCACAGGAGACTGTTTTCTGTAAGTGGGACGTTCTAAGAGCCATGGCAGCCCGGGCAAATGGGGACAGTGTGTCAGGAGCAGGCGAGGACCACCTCCAGCCCCAGGAGGGAGGGAGAGACCCCGACTAAGCCGACACAGGCCACAGACATGTGCACAGCCAGGCCAGGCCGGTCGGGGTCCCTGTGGGTGACACAGTGTTGGGAGAGGTCTGGGAGGTCTGAGTTGGCCCTCAGCCATTGACCCAAAGTAGCCAGTTCCTGGGGAGGTCACTGGGAATGGCCAAGAGCTGCTGGGGCGCAGCTGATATAGAGGTCTGGAATGAGAGAGAGAGGAAAGAGAAGGGGGGGGCCTGTGGGGGGGGGGGGGGGGGGGGGGGGGGGGGGTGGGGCATCCCACCCAGGGACAGGGGTGGTGAGGTCAGAAGCAAACACGTGACGGTGGTCCAGGCTCTCAGGTCCGCCATGCTCAGGGGACATGGAGCGAAGGGTCAGCATGGGTGGAGGCGAAGTGCTGTCCCAGACCCCTGCCTGGTCAGACACTGCGAGTGTCCCACAGCCGGCCACCAAAGCTCCAGACCATGCCTCACCACGGGGCCCACGGTCAGCAGACTGGGCGGGGCTTGGCGAGAGCCTGTATGACACTGAGATGAATTGACCAGCCCTGAGCATCTCGCCCACCCCCCGCCCACCACAGCCAGCAGGGGCCGCTGAGGCTTGGGGGGTTCTCCCCCGGCCCTGGGCAGCTCGGGCAGGGCCCACACAGGTGCATTCCTGGCCCTCATCCTTCACGGAATGAACACACACACATCTGCTGCCCCGCACGCATACATGCACATGCACACACATGCACACACATACACATGCAGACACATGCACACAGACACACTTGGTCCGTACAGGGGCACGCACACGCACATGGGCACACGCACGTACTTGGCCCACACAGGTGCACACAAGCACGCACACGCACATGGGCACACGCACACGCACGTACTTGGCCCACACAGGTGCACACACACACGCACACACACACACACGTGTGCACTCTCTTGGCCCACGACAGCCTGCAGCTGCTCACCTGGCCCCTCCTCTACCTCCGGACCTTGTAACCAGAACCCTGGGCACCAGACGCCTCTGGGAGGAACATGACCCGGGTGGAACTGGAGGGCACCCCCCCCACACCCGTGGGCACCGCACACCTTGTCATTCTGTCCTCTGGGCGTGGCTGTCCTGGGGGCCTTGCCTGTCACCAGGTGGGGCTGTGCCCCGCGGGAGGTACCGCGCCTCCCGAACACCCAGGGGACAGGGTGAGGGAGCTGCCAGGAGGCCACAGCTCCAGTGCTCGGCTGTCCCCAGGGCCACTCCAGGGAGGTTCTGTGCTCCCTCCCAGCCAGTCACAGAGCTGTGGCCTGCCCCGCCCCGCCCCCAGGACCCCCAGCGGCCGTCACAGGCAGGGCGGCCGCACCTCTGACTGGCGCTCTGGACGTCCAGGATGTTGGAGAACAGGTGGTGCCGCTCCGTCTGGGTCATGGCCGCCTGCAGCTCCCTGCACTGCAGGAACTCGGACACCAGGATGCCCAGGCTGTGCTGGTAGGAGAACTCGGACGTGAGGATCTCGAAGATGGCCTGCGCGGGAGGACAGCGATGCGGCCGGCCCACTGGGGGCTCCCGGAAGGGCCCTGACGAGCCGCCACGCCACGCGGGGGCCTGGTGCAGGGTGCGCTGGTGACCAGCGCTCAGGCCGCGGGGACGGGCTTGGGTGAGGGGGCGGGCTGGGACCCAGGCACCCTGGCCAGGCCGTGGGCGGGCGGATGGAGCGGGGTTCCTGGGCTTGAGCGCCGGCTCGGCCGGTTACGAGCTGTGACACTGGGCGAGGACCGCACCCTCGTCCGAGAAGGAGCAACGGTAGCTGCCCCTGCCCCCAGCCCGCCAAGGGCACCAGCCCGCATCCCGGTGCCTGGCCAGGAGGTGGCCGATGGGTGGGCAGGTGAGCGACGTCACCACGGTCCTTGTGCCCCCACGTGACGAGGCTGGGACGCAGGCTGTGCCCCAGCCCTGCCCCTCACCTCCTGCCTCTTGCGCTCCTCGGCCGGCAGCGTGTCCAGGATGCCCGACTCCACCACCTGTGGGCACAGGCCCGGGCTCAGGGGCTGCACATCCTGCTGGGCGGAGCCAGGCTGGCCAGGGTTGGGCTGCCCGTGAAGCGCTCGTGCAGTGGGACCGCTGAGCTGGCCTGGCCCTGCCCAGCCCTGTCACCCCCGTCTCTTCCTCTCCGTGGAAACTGCCCCCTGGCAGGCCCGCCCCCTCCGAAGAGCTCTGGGGTGGCAGAGGGAGATCATGGGGGCCCAGAGCGGAAGGCTGGCAGGTGCGGGAGGGGAGGAGGCAGTTCTGTCCCACAGAGCTGCCGGCGGCCAGACTGTAGAGAGGGACAGGGCCGCCAGGGAAAGCTGAGGGTGTGCTGGGGGTAGGGCCAGGACTCAGATACACCTGGGCCAGGTGAGTCGGCACTCTGACCAGGTTTGGGGTGACACTGTCCCAGCATGGTACCCCAGCCATGCTCTTCACGCCCTCGGGCCCCAGAGGCTCCAGACCACTCTCTAAGCCCCAGCATGCCCACTATGTCCCTGCCAGGACTGGACTGGCCGGCTGTCCCTCTGCCTGGGGCTGCCTGCTACGGGACACAGGGCCACCCCATTTTTGCCCTCCTGCTCACTGGGCTGGCCAGAGGGCATCACCAGTGCCTGGACTCGGGGGCTAAACCCCACACCTCCTCCTCAGCCGAGACCCCCCAGGTCAGGGGACCGGGATCAGAATCTGTGGCAGCACTTTCAGGGTGCAGTGAACTGAACCCCACCCCTGACTCGGGAGGTCATGCACATGCAGCTCCTGGCATGCAGCTGGGACCTGGCAGGTGGCAACTGACGTCTTTCCTGACATTCCATCCGACTGTCCTCACCCCAACCTGGGCCCTCCCCGGCTGGGGGTCCCGCAGCCTGGAGCACAGCGGGTGGCCTCTCTCATCGCCCATGGGGCACGCACAGGGACAGCAAAGTGCCACCCTCCCCACTGTGGCCATTCCCACAGCCCGCAGCCCAGCTCTGTCCCTCGGCTCTCAGGGGACAGGGTCAGGAGTCTGTCCTGGGGTAGTGACAGCTGCCGTCCCCGTACTTGCTCAGAACCCCGGGGCCTTATCCCAGCTACGCGCCCCACAGCCCCGCGGGGCGGGGACCAGCTCCATCTTCAGACGGGGAGAATGAGAGGTGGGTGGCGGCTCGGTGGCGGCACAGGCTCGCTGGGAGCTGAAGCCTGTCCCCAGCGCCACACCGCTGCCCAGCCCTCCTGTTCCTCACGAGGACCCGCCGGGCACCTTCCTGGGGGCAGGACTGTGGTACGCGGTCGCTGGTGCCTGCAGCTTCCTCCAGGTCGGGCTGAGCAGGAAGCAGAGGGCTTGGGGCTCACCTGGAGGGCGCCCGGCACACACGGATGGCTCGTGCCTCGACCTGTTTCCTCCCCAGCGACCACTACCAAGGTGCCCCTTAGGGCAGGGCCGCTCTGAGGGCACCAGGAAGGAGCCCCTCACTGCATGCTGAGTGCAGACGGGGTGCTCGTGGAAGGCCCTCCTTACCGGGAGGACTGGAGCCAGCGGCTCGGTGCTGACTGCCCGCACCTCAAGGAAGGCCTCGTCGCACCAGCCAGGCCCTACCTCCGGGAGCTGGCTCCAGGTGACCTGCGGGGGCCGGTAGGTTTTGACCACGATGGGGGCGGCCACCTTGCGGGTCCCCTCGGGGCTGCAAGGCTCATCCAGCAAGTCGTCGTCAGACTCTGGGCTGGTGTTCAGGCCTCGCTCCCGGATCTCCTGGTAGAAGCGGGGGTCTGGGGAGAGGGGGCGCGTCCTCTGTGAGCCTGTGAGTCTGGTGCCGCCAAACCTGCAGCGGCCTCCTTAGGCACGGCAGGCGGGGCAGGGCCCCCAGAGCAGGCTCCCATCAGGCCGCTGGCTCCCGTGGCCGCAGGGTGAGCCCAGTGCAGGTGTGGAACGTGGCACCTTCGGACCAGGCCGAGCAGACAGATCAGACCAACACAGGGGACCGCAGTGCTGGCTGGCGGAGGGGGCTTTGGGTGGTGGCTGTCCTCAGGCTGAGGAGAGGCCTCTGACGAGGGGCACAGGTCCCTGCCCACACACCACAGGCCACTGCGACAGGCTGGTCCGCAGCTCACGGCACCTCTGGGCCCTTGCGGCAACCCCTCCACGCCTGGGGCCACCCACAGAGGTTGGGGGCTGGCAAGGAAGGAGGGCCCATCCTGGCTGGGGTCCGTGTGTCCTCAGAAGCCTGGACTTGGCGCCCAGTTCCAAGCCCTTCTCGGGCCTTGCGGGCCCCACCTCTCATGCCCACTCTCTCCTGGCCGGGTAGGTACCTCCCCTCCCCGCTCCCCTGTGGGGCCCTATTGGTGCCCCACCTCTCACCAGGCTGAATGCGTGCACTGGGCCCCCTGAGGCTCAGCCATCACGCACGGGGCTCCCCGTGAACAGAGGAGACCCTGGGGAGAGCACATGGCAGGTGTGTCTGCACCGTGGGGTCTTGGCCGCCTGGCACACACACACGGGGCCAGAGTGGGGGGCTCCGTCTGTTCCCAGCCCCTGGGATAGTGCAGGGAACCTTCTGACCTTTCCTACCTGTCAGAGCTACGTGGTCACTGAGCCACCAGGCCCTCCAGTTCCTGGAGGGGTCCCCGCCAGCACGTCCTCTGTGCAGCCACATGCAGACCGCCCGCTCCCAGGACGGCCAGGGGGACCAGCCACTGTGGGCCCAGCCCAGCCCACAGTCCTCTCCCTGGCCACTCACCGTCCTTGAAGGAGCCCTTGTGTGCACGTTTCCGCCCCAGCGTCCTCTGTGCGAACGAGACCCAGAAACACGGGCACTCAGCAGGGAGGGGACATGTGTGGGCCTAGGGGAGCCCTGCACCCCAGGGCCCAGAGACGGCATGGCTCCACACACAAAGCCATGCCCAACAGGAGGGGGCTCCACTGGGCACCCAGAAGGCTCTCAATGAATGCCGGCTCCACAAGGGATACAGGGCCACCAAGTGGAGGCCAGAGCAAGGTGGGACGGGGGCTCAGAGCAGGCAGGGCCAGTGACTGAGGGCCGGGCAAATCTGGGAGGGCTGCCTGGAAGAGGAGGTGGTGGCACTGAACTGGTAAAGAGGAGGTACTTAAAAGTGGGGTGTCCCGACTGGGTGTGGAGGGAAGCCTGAGGCAGGCCGGTGTGGTTAAGAGGGCTGAGAAGGGACACCGGGGTGCAAGCTGGGGCTGCACACGGGACCCCACGGGAGGGGTGGCCTGAGATGGGGTTAGTGTCCAGCCCCTACACGGGTCTGCAGGCCCAGCAGCTGATGGCAGGCCTGTGGAGGTGAGTGGGGAGCAGGCGGGGTCCTTGGGAGCCCCACGCCCTCTGGGTGCCCGCTCAGAGCCTGCCTTCTTGGCTACGGCACCCCGTTTTCCTGAACTCACAGGGGCCGCTTCCAGGAAAGTGTGGGCTGGTTTCACCAGACAAGTCGGGGCTTGAGCGCTCCCCTGTGGTCGGGAACGCGGGGTGTTCCCAGCTGCACC